CCCCCCCCTTTCAGTTGTTCGGTGGTTCAGTCGGCGCTGCCTGTTCTTATCTATTCTGCATTGCGTATTCCTCTATTCCTATTCTTTTAATTTCTGCTACCCTCTTGATATGTCTCTTCCTTTCATTCTGCTGCTGCAGAAGTTGAGGGGTCGCATTCTGCGTCTGAAGTTGACAGATCCTACTTGAGGCTTGATATGATTCATGGTAGCACTTGGTATGGTCTCATGACCGGCGGTATGTCTTTGTGGCGTTTACCGTATCATGAAGAGACCAAAATGGAAGTCGTTTCGATATCAGTCATCCAGGACGTCATTGTGCCAAAGGGTGATACTCCACGGAATGATACATCCATTTTGACCCATCGTCTTCTGAAAGCTAGCACAGTTGGTGGAAATTAGGCTGGCACCAAGCCCAAACCCAGCGCTCACCTATCTTTTCCGGCTTATACCAGCTAGTCGGCATTGGAAGGGTGCAAGACCTTGTTTGCCTGCAATGGTTCCAGTTCAAAAGTGTGCGCCTCGGCGATTCTGACTGGGTGCACTTTCTTCAACCTGCAGATATGCTATCTGTTGCAGATTCAAATTGCTTTGCGAGTTTCGATTACCATGAATCGAGCGGCCTCTCGAGTGCTGCGGTATGGCATTATTGCACCTACCGTATTGTGATGAAGCCAAAATCAAAATCGTTTCATGGAGGGTCATCCAGGACTTGGAAGTGCCGGAGGGTGACACTTGCTGGAATGACACGTCTATCCAGCAGTCATTCTGAAGAGAGGTGTACTGACGCCGCCATTCCACGCATTCCTGATGGTGTCCCTGGTGCGAAATACCATTTAATAAACATGTGTGGATGGATGGCCTGCTTTGTCTGAGCAGGTTCCGATACAGCGGCGTGTGTCACAGCGATTCTGGATGCTGCTGTTTCTTCAAAAAAAATTCCAATTCACTGCGCTGTATCTACTAGGTCCACATACGATTGAGTGGGCAGTTGATTGGTTGCGGATTATTCAGCTATATCTGTTTAATATGGTTTCTACGGCCTCTTGGGTTTCGCGGTATGACATTATGGCACGTACCGTTTGGTGATGAGGCCTGGAATGAAAGTCGCTCCATCTGGAGCCATCCAGCTTATGGTACCGCATGTGACATCTTTTCGAATGTTACATTGGAATTCTCCGCTTTGAAATTCTTTTCACAACCATCTGCATGTTTAAACGTACTCGAAGATTTCGTAGTATAAAGGCTATATAGTGGTTTCTTTCTGGGAAACGCTGTGTGTTTGAAATGCTAGCTTATTTCCCCTGAGATCTCTGGGATTGGATCTCGGTAACGGGTACATATGGGTGGATAAAAGC